TACAGCTTCCCACTCACTATGAAAAACTATTCAGGTCAGAACCACTCAGGAAGTCTATATGCAGTGGAAGTCAAAGATTTCATCAATATTGCAAGAATTAGATATCACTGAAGATGAAACTGGTGATGTGCTGGAGGCTTCAATATTATTGCCGTGGAGGAAACAATTTGTTGATTGGATGGAGAGGAAGGAGTATGTTACGGAAAGTATGGGGAGTGTTGCTTGGTGGGGGGTGCGTCAATACTAATGTCTATTTAATACTAATATATAAAGATTTGCTATACCTTCATGCTGATAGGTACCCGGTCTGGGCATCCCTAACCCTCAATTATCTCTCCATTATGGTCTCCAGTGAGTGCGCATTCTCAGCGGGAGGCATTACTACCAAGCGTCGCAATCGCCTCATAGGTGGTATCATTGAAGCTCTTCAGGTTATAAAATGCGCCTTGCATAAATCGACTCCTTCTGCCTTGCTCAACGCTCGAAACGGACATAATGAAGAGGATGTCTAATAAATTCGCAAATATCTCGACATTGAGGGGTATTAATTATATGTTGATTTGAATAGTGATGAGGACATATGAATAATATTATATTCGCTGTTTTATATAGTAATAATTACTACGAAAGCCAGGGCTTGAGCCCAGGCCGGGCCGGGCCAAGCCTGCCTTCAATAACGGCCCGGCTTGCTTTTTCATCAAGCCGAAGTCCAAGCGTGGTGAAGCCGGGCCAAACCAGGGTTTTCAGGCCGAGCCCGGCCCTTACTGGGATGGATGAAAAGTGGAGAACATCCTCTCGATCTCTTAACAGCGTTGTCCATTTATCGGCATTGACAGCCGCTATTATGCACGACGTTTTGGTCGAAGAAAAAATTCCTGCTGGATTTGAAGAACACGAAGCTGAAGGCGGTATTTAATCTTGACCAAGAACAATGACCAATCTTATCACTATTTATCAACGTTTCTTGAGGGAAAAAGAGCCTTCAAGAATGTTTACATATCTACGAGGCATACAGCCTCACGATTCGTTCCCTATTACTTCACCGCGCCAATGCTCAAACTGTAGCTTTGATGAAACTTCAGGATATGACTCTAACTCAAGCAACCAATTCCGACATTCATACTTTCACTTCGAAGATTGCCAGTCTCAATAATGAACTAACTCTTCTCAATTATGACGTCAGCTTTCGGGAAGCAGAACTCGATCTCAAGAACTTACTCTCCGAAGGGCAAACTATGTCACAGGCCAAATCGAAGAATTGACGGGTCTTTTCCACAGAGCTCAGGCCGAGCTACGGGCAATCAAAGCTCGGAATCGGGAATCCGTAGAATATTTACAACAACTCCGTTCTAACTACGCAGCAAAATTAAAACAGATCGAAAATCTTGAGCTTGAGAGAGCGATTATCCAGGGCAGACAGAAGTGCAAATTAATGACGCAATCCAAAAGACGGTCGAGGCGGATACGATGATACCTATGCTGTTTGATATTCTTGTTAGGGCGTTTGTGGAAGCGCATAAGTGTTTGCTGGGAGGTCGCTTGTGTGTTACATTGCTGGTTGCTGATAGAATATGTTGTGCAGAAATACCTCGCGACGAACTTAATATATGCAGTGGACTGGGTAGGTCCATATGATGTGGGGACGCCGCTACTGGTCATGCTTTCCAAGAACAAAGCAAGTACGAAATTAATGGACGTGATACTATGTTCAAATATGATCAGGTTCAAGCAGGAACTCCTTCCTGGTCCTATCAAGGACACTGGCATCACGAGCTCAACTAGTCCTCAAACGAAATTGGGATTAGTAGGCAGAAGCGATTGGGCAATAAAAGCAAACAACTCAACCTTTTTCGGCACTTTGCCGTGCAGTCTTCCACCCCTGTGTTTTTTCTGTAGTTTTTCCAAAGTCTATCATCCTGTCGGATACAGCATTGTTGATCTGAGAGTCACCCGTAATTACTTCAAACGTAGCACGTACCGAGTCTTTACCCCCGTTACTTAAACACCGCCAAGATGTGATCCTGAAGGAGGAGGATCTGTGATTTTCAAGATATTCGGCAACGTGCCATGAATCGCATATGTCAATTATGGGCTTTCCTTCCGTGATAAGGTGGTCTGATGACTCGGAAGTGACTATAGCTGTGTAGAATGAATTGACGCCAACTTGTGATACCCGTGAAGGGCCTGGGCCTTCTAATTTCACGATGAGTGGTTTGGTTCTGGATATTTGCCTCGTGCACCCTAACCCTCGCGCAGTACCTTCCTCCGTGTGAATAACTCTGTAACTGACACAATTTGATTTAGCAGAAAAGGTTGAGAACTCGTGTTCATTCGAAATTTGAAATACAGGATTCCCTCCCGATGCGCACACTTAGAAGCCGAAGTCCATGTTGCCTTTCCTTTTGGATGAAGTCCTATTGTGCGTAAAGGACTAGGCCTTATAAGTTTGCATGATGTCTGTCTGAGAGTATAGTAGACAACTCACAGCTAGTGAATCTTATTTCATGTCTGGTACTCCTGTTAGATTAACAAGTACGTTACTAGATCCGTACATCTTGGATGCAGCGTCGCATATAAAGGACTTTCCTTTGTTCCTTTGTTCTTTTGTTCTCTGAAACATTTCTAGCATTTTCCATACCACTTTATTGTTATTACGTTTTCCTTTATTAGCCTAGAAGGATCTCTGTAGTTAGTATAAATACGAGCCTTTTGGTTAGTTGTACTCAGCTATTTGCTCTCGCTAACGTGTACAAATACTGGGTGAGAATAATTTTATCATTTTACTTTTATTTACATACTTACAATGTATTTACTAGACATAACCTTGTTACTAGTATTTAAATCGTATATGTCCCTGTCTATTAACGGCTAAAGGGATTAGCTTTATTATAGTAGCGAAACAGAAGATGCTTTGGAGGTTCAGTTCTCCAGAACGAAGACAATTAGAATGACAGCATAATTGCAATGAAGCGTCACCAAAGTCAGCTGCGGGATCGTAAATGCGACGCTTCATGTGCAGTACTTGAATACGAATGACACCCTACTAGCATCAGCCTCTGACGATGAAGCAGCCACTGTTCAGATTAGTTAGGTTTTGCAGTTTCAATCGGCAGATCCAAGGAGTTAGAAGCTAGAACAGTTGGATATTAGGGGGAAAGGTAAGTTAGGTGTCTATACAAAAATACTGACAACATCTGTTCCATAAAAGAAATTAGTAGGGTCTAAAATATGGTACCGAACAAAGCCATTGCTATGGATACATTTCTTTAAAGGTAGAGGATGAGTCTTAAGAACAATACACAATCAATCAGATAAATTAAACTTGGTTGGGAAATGTGGGGTTGTTTACGTCCTCCGAGAAGAACTATAGTAATTCTTAGAGGAGGAGGGTTCGCCCCGTCTGTCGCGGCCGTCATCTTCGTTTCCTTCACGGCCGCCATGTGACAACATATGTCTATTTAGGTTGGACTTGGAATTGAACGCCTTGGGACAATACGAGCATTCAAAGGCTAAAAACCAGACAGTTGGTGGTGGGGTATCAATATGAAGTGAAACAAACGTACGTTGCTCTCCGGTATGGGTTAGCATATGTTGCTATAAGTAGGCGATCCCCATATTAGAGAAACGATAACTTATTCATAGCCCTGACGCACATTATAGACACTCTGCCTTTCAATCCGCCTCCCACAGACATTACATTCGAACTTCTTCTTCGAATCATTGTCGTATGTTTTCGATAGTGTGTTCTCACGCACAATTCCAGGCGGTTTCGAATACGATTCAGAGACAGCGATTAGCTGGTCTCTCCCATGCGATGGAGCAAGGACGTGATAAACGGGGTCCCTACTCCCGGTAGTAGAACGAGAGACATTCGCCGCGAAACCCCTACTCGGTTCTTGAATGTAAGGCTCAGGATGCGCGATGGGTCTATTATATCCATAGTCATTTTGCCTGCCACGTGCAGAATGCTCCCGGATAGGTGGCAATCTCAAATCAGTTGGCAAAGCACGGCTCATACGGTCGAAGTTGTAAGGATCCTCGAATTGTTCTGCACGTTGTCAGTGAGCCCAAGAACGTAAAAATAATGAATGAACACGAAATTACCAGATAGAACTTCACGAAGTGGCGGTAATTCTTGTCTGCGTTCTCCATCTCGGTCCCGTCTGCCAGGTACGTCCCTGGTACTTCTTGAAGTGGAGTTGTAGTAGTCGTTGTTGTGTCCAGACATGTGTGGGGAGGTTTGGCTGCTAGTGAATTTGGATGAAAGCTCGATCAGTACTTTACACTTTATAGCAGTAGAAAACATCAACATAAGAATTGTCCGGGTGGATTATACCCGTCTGCATGAGCGCCGCTATACTTCGTTTCAATTCCTCCCAGCTCCATATTGACGGCGTTGATGGTAAAAAAGCACAGTATTATCCAGCAATACTCCACCCGTGAGTCATTGATGCTGGCAAATAGAAACCACACAGCGGTTTAGACGAGGCTCTGCAAGTAACGTCTGCATTAATTGTCTTTGTTATGGCAAAGTACAAAGCGGAATCAAGGAGATCATCACGCCTAGAGCATTAATGCTATCATGACATCACCAGAAAGATTTTGCTGCCTACAGAGCCAGAAGATCATCCGTTATAGGATAACGGGCGTGTTTCACAAATGCCGCTGATTCCCAGCGGAGATTCGCGAAGCGGTACAACGCCACGCGATAAAAGACATACGATGCCTGATCACCCAATTCAACGGTTGAGGCAGTGACCTTCAAGTTCCACCTGCTATCCACGTTGAATAGTAGATCCGGTGGGTCATTGAGAATGTAGTGATGATGGTTAAGGGAAACGGCGAGACGCCCACACAAGCAAGTGTTGGTCCCTGTCCTCCGATTATTCAGACGAGGTCCCGCATAACCCCGGCGGAAGTTTTGGAGCCAGGACGACACACGATACTACTGTGACCTTTTAATTACAACTATATTTAATGTTAAAAGTGTAGAAAATGAATGGCCAGACTGGGGATTGAACCCAAGGCTTCTGCATATATAGCAGGGGTGTTAACCATTACGCCACCTGACCCTGGGAAGCACTGCTAACATTACTCAATCTAACATTTAAGAGAGGAGAAACAAAAATTAAGTGTGCTAAGGGAGCAATGAAGTATGGGAGTAAATCAGTTATTTGTTATTGATAAGAGTTTTTCTGTGTATGGGGCAAGATTACAGGAAACAGTTTATCTCTGCTGCCAAGAGCTCCACAAAAACCAATGTTTTCACCCCTGAGCTCTTGAAAAGACGAAAGTTGACCCTAAATCACATTGTGGCGGAACAGGTTACGTAAGGCAATAACTGATAAACTAGTGAGACGTAGGCAAAGAGTCAGACAATAGGTGTGGCGTGATTAGATCCTAACTGAGTTCAAAACCTAAGTTAAGTCTGGTTCTGCCAGGTATCTTACTATACTAAACCCGATGTTTCCCACATGTCGTTTGGGTGATGTCAAACATCCCCTGATCACACCCCCAAGCTGCCCAATGAACTGAGCGCTAGATACTGTTGGAATATGAGGTATCATCTATTAGTATGACCTCATACCTTGTATTGTGACTGCTTAGGTTATCGCCGGTTCATGGACTTCCGTGATAGTATTATTAGTTTAGTGACGGAGTTCCGAGTTCCTTGTGAGCACAGACCCATGCACTAACCATGTAATATAGTATATAGTTAGCCCCAGTTGAGGAGTAGAAACCTCAACTGGAAGCCTAGTTATAGCATCGGTTTATTTCTACACCGCTCTATCTAAGTCGCATTCTCTGCCCTACATAGAGAGTCATTCAACTTGCTCCCCAGGCTTGCAGTTTACTCTAATAGATACACAACTCTCAGTTGCTGACATAATGTTTCCTCTTGTCCATACTGAAAAAAATATGGTGGGTTGAAGTTTCTCTGGTGCTATTCTGTTAAAAGTGTAGAGAATGAATGATCAGACTGGGAATTGAACCCAGGGCTTCTGCATGTATAGGAAGGGTGTTACCAATTACACCCTGGGAAATAGTACTAGCATTACACAATCTAACACATTCCTAGACCAAATAACTTCTTGTTTGTCTGAGTGATGTGACAACAGAAAAATCAACAAACCTGTTCTTCAAGTAAAGGGGATAAAAGATCTGTAGAAGTTTTCATGGTGCTGTTCCCAGACTGTATAACTTTCTGTTTGTCTTAGTGAGGTGATGGTACTCATTGTAAATGGATAAGGACTAAACAAATACAAACAGACCTTATGTAACCCAAAATACATGGTGATTCCCAACCCCAGCAACCCAAGCCCTAATGCTCATAATCCCTCACTAATCCAAATACATCCCAAGTTATATATACCAATCCAGACAAAACAAGAACAATAAGATAAATTGGGAATGGGGATCTGGGTGCCAAAGGTATGTCTGAGGTTACATCATGAAATCAAGGCAGGTTGGGTCTCAATCAGATTATGGATCAGGACTGTGGTCAAAAGTCTGACTTGAGGAGGAGATGGGAGTTTGCAAATTTACATGAGGGATGAGGGTCAGAATCCAAGTCATTACTGAGATCAAGAGCATATATTGGGTGCAAAGTTGGAGTGAAGGTCATGGCCATGTTCATGTCCTAATACTTCAATTCTTTACATTATATTACACACAGATTGCTCCAGTTCCTGACTATACCATCAGTTCCCCTAACCTTATTAGCACTCAGAATTTTGATAGCATACTCAGGCCCCAGCCACTGAGTTCCAAACCCTCACCATATACCTCACTATAATGGATAGAATAACTGTTATGAAAGTAAGTAAACTATGTATGACAACAAATGAGTGAGTTGTAACATACCTCAGTCTATACAAAGTGTGAAAATCAACTGAGGTTAATGTATTGTTTGGCAAATAATTATGAAGAATCTGAACAATAGAGGAAGAAAAGAATAGCTGCAAGACATTGCCAAGAAAATAGTTATGGAATACAAGAATGTGGAAACCCTATGACTCTGGATATATTGGTGTCTTGAGCATGTATTAGTCTTGGTCACCTAGCCCTTGCTTTTAACATCTCAATTTGTTGGAATATGTGGTTCAGAAACCTAAGTATCCACATGTACCCATAGCACTCCTTATCCATGGCTTTGGTTCTGTCTACTATGTGGTCATATAAGTTCAGTCACTTCTGGTGACCAGCCTGTGTTTGTGTCTGCATAGTGTTAAGATGTGTGTCTCTATCATGTACCTGAGTCTAGCAGAAAACTCTTGGGATTTGTCATGTATTTTAAGTCTTGTTCTATTTTTTCCTTATTTTTCTGAAGAAATCACAAAAAAGTGCAATTAAATATACTTATATTGAGGTGAAATTATTTTGACATTATTCTCCTGATTTTCCTCAAATTTTATGAAATTTACCATGTATTTTTATCATACAGACTGAAGGAGCTAGGAAATTTGTTTTAAACTAAATCTCACCAAACCAGTGCTTAATTCACAACATACAGGAACATTACATAATTATTTACACACTAAAATTTGGGAACATTATGTAAGCATATATGCTATCTTGCAATATTCCAGAAACTCATGGAAAATAGCTTCCAGGTAAGGCTAAAAATAAATAGTAAAGTAGCTAGAAGGTTTTGAAATGTCTTAGATTTTACTGTATATAAACAATAAGACTGGGAAACCTGCTGGGGCCTGGTCCCTGCCATACCAGCACCTCCCTGTTTACAGATAATCCACCAACCAGATGTTAAAATGGTAATTGAAACTTTAATGGATATTTGTGGGTAACTAGGTATTAGGCTATGTATTGTTACAGTTGCTTAGTAATACTTAACCTTTTTGCTATCAACCACATGTAACGATGCTCACTATCCTCTACTTTCAATACCAGACCTGGACCACTTAGATGCTTTAATATCCTTCCCAATCCATCCCTGAGTCAGTTTGACATCTGGTTTATTTATCTTCCTGCATTTGCTCCTGTTCCATCCTGACCTTTGTTCTTGTTCTTAGTATGGTCAACCATGCTTTGCTTCTTGTTCACCCATTTTGTCTCCCTTATATCACTGGATTAGTAGTACAATAATTTTTAGTACTATATAGTCAAGTAAATATTTGTACTTGTAATCCAATCAGAAAATCAACATAGCACCCATCTAGTAATCTATGTACCTATTTTGCTCTAGTAAGCTTTACACCAGCATATTTCCAGAACCTGTGGGTCCTCCAAGCATCACTAGTTCTAGGAAGCCCTGGGTCCTCACCCTATTATTTTATATAATCCTGGACCCCACAGGTCTCCCATTCTGTCCCCCTGTCTGAAATTGGACTTAACAATCATGTTCAGTGAATTTTAACTCAAATGCTTATAACTCCAGAAATAAATTAGCTAAAATTAGAAAAAAATATGTGTTAGAATGCCCTGTTTCTGAACTTTAACATGATAAGCAAGTTTGTTCCAAAATATTCACTCATTGTTGAGATATTAAATATTGTGTACAGGAGTATCATTGCAACCCTTTTTTTGCTTTCATTTTATAAACATAAAGCTATGCATTCTAGTACTTGGTATGACCTCCTTTAGCCTTGACCACTGCTGCAACCCTCCTAAGCATACTTTCAATCAAATTCTGGCACACTTCTGGCATTATTTTATCCCACTCTACTTGTACCCCCTCCCACAACTCCAATATCCCTCCTAGGGTCCTCTAATACTTTCCCAGCTACTTTTTCAGATGATCCCAGAGATATTCAATAGGATTGAGGTCAGGGGACTGTGCTGGCCTAGGAAGGACCTTGTATCCATGATCTTCAAACCAAGTTGTAGCTTTCTTGGACTTGTGCTTGGGATCATTATCCTGCTGGAAGATGATAGTGGAGGGATTCTTGCCTTCTCTGGAGTTCATCTTGCAGAATATTGGTGTATAACTCTCCATCCATCCTCTCATCAATCTTGTATACATACCCAACTCCCTCCCACAGCATGTAGCCCCACATCATCGGAGATCCACCCCCAAACTTTACAGTCTCCTTCACAAGCCTATCACTCAGACCCTCCTCTGCCTTCTTCCAAGCCTACCTCTTCCCATCTGACCCCAGCCTATTCATTTTGGTCTCATCAGACCATACAACAGTCTTCCAGTCCTCTATAGTCCAATCCAAATGAGCCAGAGCAAAATCCATCCTCTCCTTCCTATGCCTCTTGGTAAGGAGGGGCTTCTTGGCCTTTACCACAGCTTTCATACCAGCTAACTTCAGGGTTATGAGCTGTCTGGGATGGAAGAGACTGGTTGGTAGTGTTCTGAAGGATCTGGGTGATCTGAGAGGCATTTTCAGCCTTCCCTGAGGTGATGAGATACTGGGTATAGTAACTATCAACCTCAGAAAGCTTGGAAGGATGTCCACCAGTGGACTTCTTCAGGTAAGGATGATATTTTCTGTGAAATCTGGAGATGGTACTGATGTGTAGACCAGTGGATGATGAAATCTGGTGGGCAGAATGACCAGAATCCAAGAGGGAGAGGATGTATTTGCATTGAGAAATAGAAGAGGCTGTATGCTGGAATCAACAAGACTGTTGTGGTCTGTTTGTCATGTGTTGAATGTTTTGAAAATGTCACATGATTACACAATCAAATACAATCTAACAATGGATCAGAAACACCAGTACAACCTGCCCTTTCATATACAGAACAAAAGCAAAAAAAGGGTTGCAATGATACTCCTGTACAAAATATTTAATATCTCAACAATGAGTGAATATTTTTGAACAAACTTGCTTATCATGTCAAAGTTCAGAAACAGGGCTTTCTAATTTATATTTTTTCCTAATTTTAGCTAATTTATTTCTGGAGTTATAAGCATTTGAGTTAAAATTTACTGAACATTGCAACCCTTTTTTTGCTTACTGTACATATAAGCTGTAGCCAAGTCCTACTTGTCCTGGAACACCTGTGGGTTTACCCCAGATGCCTGTCATAAGCCTCAAGCTTAACAATAAAGAGCTCAGCTCCAGTACTGAAATAAAACATATCTTAAACATATCTTTTAGCTAT